AATAGGCTATACACTAATTACGCTAGTTTCTATCTCTTTTCACTTATTTTCCTTTTTTTTCCGATATATTGGATGGGTATTTGCTTGCTCACAAGTTACAAATAACTTTCTGTCTTGGATGGTATGTTCAATTTACAAACGTTATAAATATATAATGGTTGGAGACGGCTTGAATGGGTAATGAAGAAAAACTTTAATATAATATACTTTAATAATATACTTATATTAAAGTTTTTCTTCATTACCCATTCAAGCTGTCTCCAACCGTTATTAGTAATCGAAGTTATAAATATATACTTCAACAAGCAGGTTACTAATTGTTTAGCAAAATTAAAGGCTTGACAGCATGTTCGATTACCATTTTCGAGTCACCTCTTCGTATTTATGAACCATGACTCAGTACCAATTTTATTATATTTTCACGTTCTCACAATGTGTAATATGAGTACGAGAGTGGTTACTATAAAACACCCTAAGGGTAAAGTCCTTGGAATTTATCGGAAATAGTTTCAGTATGAGTCGAGGAGGAAAAACGAATACAACGTAGTGACTGTCATTGAACATTGGCGATTTGTGCCGCAATGGTACTGTCATTGTAATGTTCATTATTTTATGTTTCAAACGTTGGATCAGTGACTTTTAATAGATAAATAATTTAACTGTTTGATTACATTTCTGCTAACACTCCCACTTTTCCGACAGTGTCTCTCGAATTGGAAAGTAAAATATTTTAGTTTTAAGTTACATAAGATATAGTGTTTGTTTCGTTTATATACTCTGTTTTAACTAGACAAACGAGTCGAAGATTTTTATTTGGAGAATGCAACCAATACAGCTGGTTATGCAATATTCTTGATTAATGAGTTAAATTTGATAAGGTTAAAAATTTGGGTTTACGAATGATGTGGTTTATAATTATATTTGTAGTGTAGGACTGACGTTAGGCTTATGCCGACGGACTCAACTGGTCAAAGTGCTAAACAACGGCGACATTTACGTATCTCAGCATGTGTGAGTCATACAATTACCAGTACACTTAACGTTCATACGAATGTTAGTTTCGCTATCGTACTGGTGTGTAGCGAAGGTTTGGCGATAGTGTGAAGATTTCATAACCTGAAGAAAGCTATTTCATTTTCAGGGATGTTAAACGTATTCAGGTATCGATTTACAATTACTAAGATATTTTGAAAAATTATTATTTGGAAAATCTGCTAATAAATGAAAAAGTGGAACTAAATTTTACTGTTTTTAATTTTAGTATAAATTAATAGTCCTTTATGTGAAAAATTAGTTACTAAAATATTTGTTTGTGAAGTTTTAGAAGTGATTGTTGTATAACGTCATTATAGTTATAATATGGAAGGTCTTTAATTGGAAAATCAACTCGCATAGAAATGATAGATTACTTTCCTTTGTTTGTGAAGGTTTAGATATGGAAGTTAGATCCATCTTTAGTTGCATAAAATTCGAATTTTGTATAGATTGTTGTAATTTCCAAACAAACACTGAGATTGCCAATCTCAGCTAAGTGAACTTATGACTAAAACAATCAAAGAAAGTTAACACTGACAATACACATACATCATTAGACAAACCACTTCATAGATAGTTAGTTTCTAATTTAGCTTTTAATGCTTGTATCTTGTGTACTTCATTCTCACCTTGGGTAAAAGTTGTATATGAAAAAAACTAGTGTTGTATTTGTATTATTTTTTATAAGTGGTAATTTCTAGGAACATTCTAGATTTTCTTTTTGTTAATCAATATAACCTTTGTTTTCCTTGCTGTTTCAAGTGCTGTTTGGTTATTTAATGAAACCTCTGTTTTCCATGCAGTTTCTAGTACTGTTTTAACTATCTTATTTTGTAAAACCTGTGTTTTTCCGTGCTGTTTCCGGTACTGTTTCAACTGTTTTGTTATTTAGTAAAACCTGTGTTTTTCCATACTGTTTCCGGTACTGTTTCAACTGTTTTGTTATTTAGTAAAACCTGTGTTTTTTCCATACTGTTTCCGGTAATGTTTCAACTGTTTTGTTACTTAGTAAATCCTGTGTTTTCTATATTGTTTCCGGTACTGTTTCAACTGTTTTGCTACTTAGTAAATCCTGTGTTTTCCATGTTGTTTCAGGTACTGTTTCAACTGTTTTGTTACTTAGTAAATCCTGTGTTTTCCATGTTGTTTCTGGGAATTTCAACTATCTTGTTATTCTGTTAGTATATTGTGTGTGTGTGTTTTCATGCTGTTTCTGGTATTGTTTAAACTGTAATGTTATTTAGTAAAACTTGTGTTTTCTATGCTGTTTCTATATAGCTATAGCTCCAAGAAAAATTAACCTAGAGACCTGACACTTTGTTCGCATACTAAGGGATTCCGAGGGTGTGCAATTGGGTGTTATTTTTAAATTTGACTCAAAAAAATTTTGACCAATTTTTTTGCCCTACAGTCCCCTTAAATCCCATAATTTTGCTTCCTGAAGGTCTATAGAAAAGTATCAAGTTTACTTGTGTAATTCTCACTTACTGAATGAACAATATGTGGAAGTTTTCTGCCAAATACTCTTAAAAGAATTGAAATATAAACACAAGAAGAAATAATTAATCTGAGAAGCTAGATTAAAACTATTTGCTTTTAACCCTTTCGAGACGGGTCAAGGGTGAAAGGCCATATCATTTCGTTTGTTGACTTGCATTCAAAATTTTATTGAACTACTATTTCATGAATTTATGTCAATAAGTTTGATATC